AACAAAAAACGGTCCAAAAGACACCCTATTGCTTAGAAAATTCTAAGAGCTTTCAGGGGCCAGGTGATAGGAACAGAGACAAACACCAAATAGATTATGCCACAAATACCCTTTGTTCAACATTTTTTAGACTTCCAAAATTATGAATGATGCCACAATGTATCTTTGTACCTATGATGTATTTACCATGCCTCTAATGTTTTCCTTAAAATAAATGTGTAGAGACATTTAAGCCTGTTGCCCAACATGGTATTTACTAGCCACACAACCTCTTAAAAATATGGGCCAGGGATTTAGCTCAGTGGTTCCACCAACTGCCTAGCAAGTACAAGGACCCGAGTTTGATCCAGGTACTAAAACAAAACAAAATAAAAGAACATTTAAGTTCTCAGCTGTATCAGCTGTATTTCAAGTTCTCAATAGCCAGATTTAGCCAGTAGCTTTTTTTTTGGTACCAGGGATCGAAATGGGGTCCTTGCACTTGTGAGGCAGGCAGCAGAACCACTGACCTAAATCCCTGACCCCAGTAGCTCTTTATTTTATTTCTTTTCCAGTTTTTTGATACAGGGTCTCATTATGCAGTTGAGACTGACCTGGAACTTACTATGTAGCCTAGGCTGGTCTCGAACTCACAGCAATCTTCCTGCCTCAGCTTCCTGAGTGCTGGGATTACAGGCATGCGCCAGCACGCCCAGCAGCCAGCAGCTTTTTAAATAGTAAACCGATTTCTTAAAATCACCTATGGAAGAAGAAATGGAACCATGGATCCCTGGTTTGACAGGGGAAAGGGAATGACTGGTGAATGCACACAAAGAGCTTCCGACATGATGCAGATATTCTACACTGTGACAGGGATGTAAACTGGACCTGCTAGAACTTATGTAATCCTCTACCATATGTAAATTATACCTCTTTTTTTTTAAAAGGAGGGGAAAAAAGCAATAAGTACTGTGATAACATTAAATTTTTAGGCAATACAATAATGATCTTAAAAATATTTACAGAACTTAAAAAATGATTTCCTTGAGAAACTGAAAAAATGGAAATAAAGTGTTTGTAAATGGGGAGGGGGGAGGTGAAGGGAGGGCAGGGACAAGGGGGAAAAATGAGAATCAAGACCTATTATGTAAAGGTACAGAATCCCAACGATGAATGTAACTATTGCATACCTGGATTGTACCAATAGACTCAATAAAAATAAATAAATAAATAAAATGATTTCCTGCCTTAGGAGATCAAAATGTTTTACTAAATTGAGTGTGGGAGGAACAACGTGAGTTACAACAAGTCAAACCATTGAACTGCTACATCCTCATGGCACTAGAAAATTGACACTATCAAGGCAATGCTTATTAAAGCATTAGAAATGGCAAGTTTTTGTTGTGGTTTCTATTGATATTCCCCTAAAGCCTCATGTTCTCATAGGTGGGGAGGCCAAAGCCTGGTGGGAAGGGCTAGGTCCCTGTGGGAGTGGCCTGAAGGGTATACATCCTTTTTCCTCCCTTGATCCCTTGCTGCTTCTCACTTGCCATGTCTCCTGGTCGCCTTTACAAACTGTGAGCCAAAATAAACCTTTAAATTGTGGGTGTTGAGTATTGTGTCCCAGGAACAAGAAAATAACTACGATTTTTTTTCTTTTCTTTTTGGTACCGGGGATCAAACTCAGGACCTTGTACTTGAGAGGTAGGCGACAGAGTCACTGAGCTAAATACCTGGCCCACTAAGACTTTTTTTTTTTTTTTTTTTTTTTTTTTGTTTTTTTTGATCCT